GCCCTAGCAGTGAATAAGGAGCTCAGCTCTTGGTTGCCAGGGCAACAGGAGTCAGCAAGTGACCCACACCTGCCAGCAGCCAGCTGACCCTAAGGGGCAGGGCCTGGCCCTTATAAACCCTAGGGGCTGAGGCCAGAGGCAGTTCCCTGTTAGCAGCCAGAGAGGAGGGAGCTCCCTGAGCAAAGATGCAAGGAGAAGCCTGACCACAGGTACAGCCCAAGCCAGGTAAAGGATGGCAGCCCTGGGATGTTTGAGCAACGTGGTTTTAGCCAGGCGGCTTTAAGTTATGTTGTAGCCTAGGGGCTTGTGTTTTGTTTTGCTGTTTATCACCGGTGGTTTGGGTGAGGCTATTAGGGGTCGGAGGAGGCCTCATAGGGGACTCACAGCGGAGTGTGAGGACCCCAGCGCCAGTGAAGGCGCAGCATTTGGGGTACATAGACCTCAGCCCCAGAAAGGGGCAGTTGAGAAGCCCCAGAGAAGAGGGCAGCATTGCGGTGAGGAGCCCCGAGAGAGGGTGGCGTTACAGAGGAGGCCCCAGAGGTGGGCCGCGTTACCGAGAGAAGGCCCCAGAGAAGGGGGCAGCGCTCGAGAAGGCCCTAGAGAAAGTGGCCTTACTGAGGAGCCCGGAGGGAGGGCATGGAGAGAGAGAGAGAGAGAGACAGGGCTGCGGAGAGCCCGAGCGCCAGAGAGGGCGTGAACACCAGAGAGAGGGACAGAATAATGTCCATTACATCTGTGGGGCATGGTATTGGGGTGGTAGGAGCCACACATAGCCCCTAAGGCTAGGGTGCCCCGGAAGCACCCATTTGTAGAGCGGGACCCACAAGGGGTCCGAGAGTACACAGGGCAGAGACTACAGCAAGATGTGACCAAGAGGGCGGAAAAGGTAGCCTCCCTTATATTGTGTCATCAAAGACATGGCGGGTGAGAAACTGAGGGTGCCCTTGGGCCAACTTGGCACGGAAAGGGGCCTTGAGATCACGGCCCTCCTGTAGGACCCTGCCTGTGACGGAGGTTTTCAGAAATGGCAGGGCAGTCGTGTGTCTGGGATGTGTTAGTGAACACTGCATCTGTGCAGGGGTTTGGGCTAGATGGCCCTGGAAGTCATTGATAGCCCATTCAATGAAAGGTACTACAGCCAAAATATTAAGTCTGTAAAGCTACTTCCTAGGGCAGCAGTGGCCAACCTGCAGCTCCAGAGCCACGGGCAGCTCTTCAGAAATTAATATGCGTCTCCTTGAATCTTTCCACAAGCACATCGTGACCAGTTTCCATTTGGACTATTTGGAAGCTGGTCACCATGTGCTTGTGCAGAGATTCAAGGAGACAACTTCTGAAGAACTGCCTGTGGCTCCAGAGCCGCAGGTTGGCCGCCCCTGTCCTAGGGAATGAACACATGAATGTACATCTAAATCTATAGGTCGTTTGATTTGTTTGACTAGTACTTCAGTTTTTAGATAGTTAATTTTTGTTTCATCTTTATGTTCTATTTTACATCATAGTCAGATGAACAGCTTCGAAGAGAAGTGGACTGGTGTGTGGAGCAGCTGGAACTAGGCCTGAAGATGCAGAAATCCACTCCAAAGCAAGGTAAGCAAGCAAGCAAACCACAGAGAATCTTGCTGAAGGTTGAGAGCATAAAGGCATAAAGGAGAGATTTATGCTGCGTTTGTATCTCCCTCCCTTCCAATGTTTCAGTTGATGAGGCCCTGCGTGCCATCAGGACACTGCACAGTGACAAAGCTGTGCTAGCAAAGAAACGCCAGGTCATGCGAGCTATGTTCGGAGACTACAGGAAGAAGATGGAGGAGGAGAGGCAGAAGCAGCTGAAGCTCATGCATACAGGTATGAGAAATAGACTTACCTCCAGACTTACCAACTGTTCACCAGGGCACCCTTGGGGAAAACCAGGAGTAATGGCCACAGACTCCTGGAAGACCGTTTCAGGCTTAACACTAGGAAAAACTTCTTCACAGTCAGGGTGTCCTGAGGTGGTGCAGTCACCTACCCTGGAAATCTTCAAGAGGAGACTGGATGATCACCTCGCTGAGGTCACCTGACCCCAGTTGTTTTTCCTGCCTAGTGCAGGGGAACTGGACCCGATGATCTTGTGAGGTCCCTTCCAGCCCCTTACAATCTATGAACCTATGGGAAGACATGTCTATAGAGGGGGAAGGAATGCTTCCTTCCTTGGAGCTCAACAGGACAGAATACTCAACGGGACAAAATAGTGGTGCAAAGGGAGCCATAACATCATGTGGTTTTTTTTTTTTTCTCTTTTTCTTCCCTTTTGTAAGCTGCCAAGTCTGCTAAGGTCACAGAAGTGAGTGAGAGCACACGCCGAAAGAGCAGCCAGGTTTTCAGGAAGCATACAGGATCCTCCAAGAAAAGCCTACATCCAGCAGAATCCCATTCTGATCCTCTCAGCCACACACAGTCCCCCAGAGCATCCGACATGGATTCATTTGTATTTACAACTTCCCAAGAGGAGTTTTGCTTTAATTTTTTCTAAGAAAGTTTCTTGGATGCATCAATTTGATTTTTAATTGCTGAAAATGTTGCCAAAGCTTGTATAGTTTTAGGGGATGGAAGAATACCAATCAAGGCATTGCATTGGAAGCCTACATATTTTCATAGTGAAAACACTCCCAAACTACCTTAGGGTGGGCATATGTAACAGCTCCACCTACAGCACATATAGCTTCCAGACTCAAGTCTTCTGGTTGGACCCCTTTTATCACTCACCCCTCAGAAAGGTGCCTTTGCAGGCAACCACTATGGAATCAGGTGGTCACTGAATTTATTCTAGCTCAGTGCTAGTTCCATGGAATAATTTTCTTGATAGGGTAATTCTCTCTCTGTCTCTCTCTCTCTGTCTCTCTCTCATAGCACAAACTACATATATTATGGAGGAGACAACACAAAGTAAGTAGTAAGTAACACTGTTAGCCAGAGAATCCAGGCTCTCATTGGAGAATGGAAAAGGCAGGAGGAGAAAGCAGCATCACATTGGGCAGTGTAACCCTTGCTGTCTGTTAGGCCTTTTTGGATCCTATAGCTTCCAGGCTTTGCCGGTTTTGGGGATTTCTGTCCTGTTTAACATGTAAATACTCAGCATCTTGTGGGGAGAGAGTGGGTGAACCATAGGTGACTTGGCCGTTCCTTTGTTTCACTAAACAGCATTGTGTCAGTGGTGAACTCCAGCAGCAGTGTTGAAGTTGTTGTAAAGATTGATTTAAACCAGTTCAGTGACGTAGAAGAAGAACCAGCTACAGCTATCCAGTGAAGACTTTGGTTTCTGAGTCAGCAGTTTTTGCTTTTTGGGTTGGCCAAGCAATGGGAGCTCTGGAGGAAGCACAGCTAAACCTTGAAAGAAGCAGCCTTTGAGTAGTCAGCTGGGCAAGCAGTTGTGCCTCACCATATCTAGCTCTTTTTTTACCAGAAGGATGCATCAGCTCCATACTGAACCTTGGATGGATGCAAAATAAAATGGGAGGGCAGGGAGGTTCCTTTGAGTTAAAAGTATCTATTTGATGTGTATCAAATAAAAACTCTTTTGTTTTCCAAACAGTTGATTAGTGCATTTCCAAAGCTGTGATGATGGTTTGGCTAATATGCCTATGAAAAACAGCATTTCTGGAAAAGATCTATAAAAATTAGAAAGAACAGTTCACTGCTTAAAGGAGTGATGGGTCCCTGGAGGAGCACTGGAGTAATCATGGAGCAATAGGTCCCTGGAGGATCACTATTTTTTCCTATTTGACAACCTTATAAATCATGTTGTGTGGGTGGGCAGCAGTGGTGCATGACTAGATTTTTTTTAGTGTAGTAAGAACAGCTGAAAGAAAAGGGATGATACTTAGTGGAGAGGACTTCAAGAAACTGTTACTGAATTTAACAAGGAAATTCTTGTATATCTTGACTTTAGTATAATAAATTGCCTCCTGAAATGTGTGGTTTGTGTATCTTTTTTCAAGTCTTGCAAAACTAAGCTCTTAATAGCTGTGTTCCTGAGAGCCCTGACATTTTGGTAATGCACCAGGTAAAAAGATGCAGAGTCAGATCAATGTTTAAGATACAGTACTGCCTTTATCTTAAGCACTTAGCACTTGGAAAAGTGATTCTTATGTTTTCTGAGAAGTGCATCCATCATAGAGGCTGTATAGAACATCATAACAGAGTATTATTGAAACTCCTTGTAGGTGTGACTGTTTTGCATTACACATGAAAAAATATGAAAACACTCAATAGTTCTAGCATTTTGAGGCCATTCACAAAAACACTGGAGAAAATGTTTACATGTTTCCATTGCTTTAGTAATATACCAGTTTTTGTTCTAGTGTACTGAGTTGTTTTATGGATTTTATAAAAACTAATTTTTTGCTTATCAAAATTCTTACCAGGAGATAATGATCCAACTACTCATTGATGTGGATTGCTGGAAGAACTTTCCAGTAGCTAATGGAAAGTATTAAGTGTGTTGTGTTACCAATAATGCTTAAACTGCTAAGAGAGTGGCTTCACCTAATCCACAGATTTTCACTGCGGTAATTGTTTTGAATGAGTGCTGCTAACTTTTTATAATGCATCTTTGTAGTGGGTTTGCAAGATCAAGCAGGAAAAAGTTAGGAAAGGACAGCATGAAGCTTGCCTATGCAAAAATTCAGCTCCCTTGTGTGTAGACAGTTCTAAATCACCTAATCGCATACTATTTTCTCCACATTATGCTTCTTTATTCTTATAGTATTTTTTAATGTAATTTAGAGTAGTGTCAAGAGTCCACAGTTAGGATCAGGGCTTTGCTGCCCTTAGAACTATAAGTTCATATAGGAGACACTGGTTCCAGCCTGAAAGCACTAACAAGTTAAGACAATGAGCAAGAAAAGAGGAGCTATTCATGTGTGAAGTCTTTGCTCCATTGTTCTTTGCACGGAAGGAAGTCAAGCCATTAGGCTATGTTCGGGTGGCGACATTAAGCGGTGCCTGCAGGTTTTACCTGATGCATGGGGTGAGCATCCACTGTGGTATAGAGTCAGTAGCAGATGAGAAGCCACAGTGCTCTTCCACATTGTGGATATTTTACAGCAAAATGAGGGGTAGACTCCTGGGTCTGGGAACAAACTGGAAAAGTCTGGAGTTGTTCACCAGCTGCTGAGCTAAAGAGGGTTTTATGGCAGAGACAGCAGACACCAGGCTACAGTGTCTGCCCCTTTTAGGTTTGGCACACTTATATGTAACAGGATCCTCTGGAAGAGTCTATGAAACACAATCCTGTTCCAGTCAGCCCCTGCCCCGATGGGGAGAGAGCAATACCTCCAGCCAAGTTTTTCCCACCCACTTACTGGCTCTGTACAGACAGCCCCTCAGCCCTGCTTCCCTTTTGGTTATTATGCTTAATGCAGAGAGGTGATTGGCCAGTCAGTTAGTCCCCTCCTTCCCTTTTCCCCTGGGATTGGTTGAAGGGAGCACACTGATAGATGTCTGATTTGCCCATCTGGTGTGTGAAGTAACCTGGTAGGGCTGTTGGGTGCCTGGGTGCTTAGACATTAAAGAACCACCAACACAGGATCTTGGGCTCCCAGCAAACTGCTACCTGGGTGTTATCTCTGGAGCCCCAACATCTAGGACCACCAGTTAGGACTGCCACTCCCTAAAGCCAAGAGAGAGAGAAGCCGCCGAACTCAATCCCATTGAATCTTTAACTCAAGTAATGACTTGCTTGTTCACTTTGGCCCTATAATCTATTTTTAAATAGTAAGGGGTGGGGGAATCAGTATCTAACGATCAGTGGGGTTAACCTATTTTATATTTTCCATTAAAATAAAAAGAGACCTTGAATTACGATTTTTTTAAATCCTTTATTGGATTGGAATTTTTGTTGAGAAAAATATTGATCTTCGATATCAGTCATTATCGAAGAAAAATCTTATTTGGACACTGAAGGAGAACTGGACTCGGAGTGACGGTATCTCACAAGGATTCTGGCAGTGAAGTGCCTAGGATTCTTCTAGATTCTACCTCTGAAGTCATCCTCACCCTGCACCAAAGTGACCCTGACTAAAAGCCTGAAAACAACAAAAGAGAAAGCATGCGCGCACGTGTTTTGAGATCATAAGGAGCTGAAAGGGCTGATTTTGTAACTTTCCACAGAAGCTGTGTCTTTTTGGGAGTTTTTTAAAGAAGTCCTCAAAAATATTTGTTCACAAGCTTTTGTTACTTTCCTACACAATCCTTTCATCCAAAGGGAAGTTTTTAAGCTCAGGTGTTTTAAAAAATTGAACTTCATCCTAGGTAGATTTCTGGACAGATTTAATTACCAGTGCTCTTCATCTTTAATAGAATTTTGTCTTGGACCCTGGCAATTATTAAGACTCGTGCCTTGAATACTCACTTTATTGGTTGGCAGCTCTCTTTCTTTTAGGTATATCTAAGGCACCTGCCACCTTGTTATCTAGTTGCTGCGATGGAAGAAGTATGGGTTGTCTACTTGTGCCTGTTCTTGCTTGTCTTGATTCTTATTTTGAGGAAGCAAAACCCTGATTTGGAGGCTGTAAAGAAAGAAAAGGAAAGCAAAAGCTCTCCACCACCAACCACTTACTATCCCAGTACTCCAGGCAAACATCTGGAATACTCTGAAGAAGAAATGGAGAAGTCTTTTGAGAAGCTAACCAGCATCTTGTTTGATTCAGAAGCTAGAAAAAGGGAAGCCCATCATGAGCAGAAGTCCCACCACCATCACAGAACAGCTGATGCTGAAACTAAAGACCTCACAGGAAAGGGGCCAGGACAATCCCAGTATCAGTCAAGCCAGCACAGGGTTCAGGTATGGTGCAAGGCCTGTGAAGAATTTCAGGGTCAGCATTGCATGAAGTTCTTGAATGATTTATTGAGTCCTGGTGAAATGTATCTGGGGTTGCATGGAGGAGAGGGGAATGTATCTATAGGAGGTGTTTATGTATAATACATATACCCACTTAATTTACACATATTTCACTGTGATCAAATGATTCAGCCATGAGATCCACAATGTGTTATATGTACATATATGCATGTACTGGGTATACACATTTTTTTCTGTGTGTGTCAGCATGATAAATGATTATTTTTTACTGTAATAATCAAACAAGTAGGATTTTGTAAGAAATAAGGGGCCCAGTCCCCAGGTGTGCATAACTCTATCCATTACAATAGACTTGCATCAATTTAGACCAGCTGTGGATTTGGCTTTGTGCCTAGTAGCTCTTGTAACCATTGCCCTAGCCTGTACAGGTCTATAATAATGAACAGTGAGAAATCACACACACACACACACTTTTATTTTCTCTATGTGCAGTGATAATATGCATCATAATGAACAAAAATGCAAAATTACCCCAGTATAGACTAGCAGAATTTTACTTGCCTTGGACGAGGAACTTTTTGGAAGAAGAAATGAACATACCTTATTTTTATCGTTATCCTCATCAATAAGATTTTGTCTTTGGGGTGACAATTTCATGGCAAGTTTGCAAGGCTCTATTACTCTATGCTAGCACCTGTTTATATTCTTCATTCTTGAGAGGTGTCTTCCATTGCCAATCCCACACTTTGATAACGCCTTCTTTGCTGAAGGTGGGTGCCAGGAAAGGAATATGCAGGCACTTGCTGAGAATAACTTTTCCTTGTCAAACAAGGAACAGACCCTGGGATGAGGGGAGCTGTTAGTCACCAGTGCATTCAGTCTTTTAAGTTAGCTGGGCCCTGAACAGCTGACTAAGAAATCCTCCCAGTCTTTAGCAGATGACTGAATAACTATTTATGGACTAACATCTAGCTGAAAGGAGAGGGGAGAATATCCAAAATGTAAAAATATTTTTTGCAGAATGTAAAGGTACCCAATAATTCAGCCACCCACACAATTCCTGACCTGTTTTACTGACTGAAGAAAGCATTGTTGGTTTTGTAATGTCATCTGTAGGTTAAAAATGTCAAAGCTCTTTATTTGAAGTACTGTAGTTCATACAGTGGAATAATGGAGTTAAATTTTGTTGTTTGTAAGCATGTTTATTAGTAGCAATCGGAATTGGGAAAAAATGACTTTGTCAGCACCTTTTTGTATACTTAAATAACAACGTTCTCCAGACTTTTGTGTTCCATTAATTTGTGCAAAAAACTGGAATGCATCCTTTTCCATAAATCAGCATTGTCTGGGTGCTGGATAGCCATGGGCATGCAAACAAGTTACTGGAAGATGAAATAACCTGTGAGCTTACTGCACTTCACGTACTCCACTTAAATTACTGCCTGTTCCTAGCCCACAGTAAATGGGAGGTAGCTAATCCTGCTTCTTTGAAATAGATGGCCAAACTGACTGCTGTCAGTCTCACCTGGAGTGAGAACAGGTCCAAAACTGTCAGGCTTGGCCCTTGTTGGTTAGGCCAGAAGCCCAGAGTCCTTAATGTCTGACCCAGCATTACCAATGGCTACCTTTGAAGTTGGCATACGGCATGCAGTGCATGATAGCTTAATGAATTCTAGAGCTTTGATTTCTGGGTGTTTCAAATGCATAAGAAAGCACAGGTAGATGAAGGCTTCTGAGTCTCAATATAAGATGGTAAGGGATGCCTTAACCTTTCTGTTGCTGGAGGAAGGAGTAATGCTGTTTTCCCATTAAAATTTTTGATGCTTTAAAGTGGCTTTGCTGTTTATGGAAGGTGCTAAATTTGGAGCTCTGGGACTGAAATCTCCATTTGCAGAACAATGGTGGCCTTGATTACAGAAAAACAAGCTTCCTCTCATGTGCACCTCAGTCCTACTCTGAGCTGGCCATTAGAGCTGTACGAAGCTTCGGTAGCCGATTCAATTCGGAGGAGATTCGGCCCAATTTGGTGGCCGAGTCTCCAAATTCGAGTCAAATCAGGAGACCCTTTAAAAGGTTAAAATTGAATCGGAAGCCTCCAAATTGATTTGGAAGGCTTGCAGCAAACAAACTGAGAAGAGGGATGGGGGTAGGGTGATCTTTCGTATATGGAAAAGGCGGGGAGGGGGGCGGGGAGACTGCTCTGAGATTGACATCTGTACCTGTCCAGTGATTGTGATCTTTCTCTGAGTTCCCTTCCAATCGCAGTGCTCTGGGAGAGGGATGTAGAAACAACATTTAAAACTGTCTGAAGTGATCTGTGCCTTTTGTGAGCTCTCTCTCTTGGAGCAGCAGTGTCTGAAAGGCTCTGACTTGCCAGCTAGTCTCTTGCTATCTAGTCTCTCTTCTTGTAACTTGTATCCTACTTACCCTTGCCTGCAATCCCTATTCTTATCCCTATCCATTCCTTTCAACTTATTCTTCCCCCTAAATCCACTTATATGTTCTTGTTAGTCTATCTTGATTCTTTCCCTCCACAAAAAGAAATCTGTGTTTTTCCTGACTTTGTCATCACCGTGCAGGAAAGTACAACATATATTACATACACACACACCCCCCGCACACCAAACATTATGAAGCGTGCTGGAAAGGCAGGTGCCAGGTGTTCTGGCAGCAGAGGGAGAGCGGGTAGAGGGAGAGCTGCAAGTTCCCCCTGCCCCAAACATAGACTCTTTCCTGGCAGCAATGAGTCTTCTGCTGCTAGTGGGAGCAAGGAGGTGGTAGCAGTGCCTGCAACTGCACTAACACCACTAACCAGCAGCAGCATGACAGTCCCCACCCCAATTTCAGTTGCCAGTGTGAGCCTTTCAGTGGCAGAGGAAGAGCTGGATCTGGAAGCAGAGGAGATGAGGGCCACAGTGAAGGAAATTCTGGGGAAGGAGGGGGAATCTGAGTTTGTGCTCCACACCCCTCAAAGTGCCCCTAGAGGCAGGTCTCCTTCTCTGGAAGGCACTTTGGAGGAGGTTGTAGGGATAGGTGACTCAGCTCCTCCTGTTGTTGTGCCTCTGCCTGGTGAGGAGGGGGATAAGGCTGGATCCCCACCCTCAACCCAGAAGCAGGTGGGCGGTGCAATGTGGGATCATTCTGAGGTGGCAGATGATCCCAGGTATGCTACCTGCCAGCACTGCTGAAGGCAGATCAGTTGGGGCAAGTAGGTGAAACACTTCACCACCACAGCAATGCTGCTGCATCTCAGGAGGCAGCACCCCCTTGCCCTTGTTCTTTCTCAGCCTGGCACCAGTGGGAGCATGCCCAAAAGAAGTCCCCCTCTTGCTCCAAAGCTCCCGTCCCCAAGAAGCAGAGGCAGGCCACGCTGGACCAGTGAGGGAAAGGCAGAGACAAAGGGGAGGGGGGTGTTCCCAAGGCAGGCAAAGTCACCCAGAGCACTGGGGAGATGCTTACTTTGGATACCCAGCCCTTCTCCTTTGTTGAGCATCCAGGGTTCAGGTGGCTCATGGTGCTCGTGACCCCATCGTACCAAGTGCCCCCATGCACCACCGTTAGCAGGACGGTGGTGCCCTCCCTGTATGAGGCATGCAGGGAGTACTTGAGGGAGGAGCTGTGGAAGGCAAGTCTGCAGATAGCTTTGCACTTCACCTCAGACATCTGGAGCAGTTGGGGTGGAGATCACGCCTACCTCTCCCTCAGGGAACTGGTGCAATCAGTCAGGGCATCAGTGGGCTCTCCTTCAAGTGGAGGTGATGGATGAGTCCCACATGGCAAGGGAGATCATGGTGGCCCTGAACTGCATGGTGCAGGTGTGGCTTGTTGGGCAGGGTGAGCTCACCCACAGGTTCATGGTCACCGACAATGGGGCCAATATGGTAAAGGCAGCGCATGATGCCAACTTTGTTGGCATCCGCTGTGTGGCACACAAGTTCTACCTCATAGTCAGGGATGCCTTGGAGGGGGACAGGGCTGCCGGTGACAGCACCATCACTACCAGCCAGCTCATTTCGAAATGCAGGAAGGTGGTGAGCTACTTCCACCGGAGCACCAAGGGGGGCAAGATGCCACAGGAGAAACAGGCAGAGCTGGGTATCCTGCAGCACAAAATTATGCAGGATGTGAAGACTTGGTGAAACTCCACATACGTGATGCTGGGAAGACTGGTCGAGCAACAGAAGGCCATCCACGAGATGGTCTTGGTCGGGGAGATTGGGATCAGCAGCCCCCTTAACAAAATGGAGTGGGATACCATCTCCCAGATCTTGGTGGCCCTCAAGCTGTTCCTTGAGGCCACTGAGAGTTTCAGCACTGGCAATGCCCTCTTCAGCCAGGTGATCCCCATAGTGCAAGAGCTTGAGAATGAAATGGCGAAGTTCCAGGGGATCGATGTTCCTGGCTGGGGCAAGTCACTTTCACCAGAGGTTCAGGCACTGGTGAAGCAGCTGAAGGAGGGCATCAAAAAATGGCTGGATCCATTGCAGTCCAGTACGGTCCATGTGCTGGTGGGCATGTGCAACCGAAGGGTGAAGGGAAGTGTCTGCAGCAGCAAAACCCTCGAACACTGGACAGAGGTGCTGGTGAACAGTCAGGGAGGCAGAAGGGCAGAGGCAGGGGGAGGTGGAAAAGGGGGGTTCACTTTCCCGTGCCTACACTCCAACCACCAGCCAATCTCCTCCACCACACCAACTGCCAATGTGGGCCAAGGGCATGGCTTCAATGTTGGGGTCCAGAAGCACCAGACCCCACCATCTGGCAGATAGCGTGGAGGTCTCAGTGGCTACCTATCTGCCGAGGATGTGGAGCTGCAGCAGTGTGACCCCTTGGCTTATTGGGCAACTTGCTGCCAGGTATGGCAAAATCTGGCCACGGTTGCCGGGATCACCTGTCCTGTCCACCAACCAGTGTTCCAAGCAAGAGGGTGTTCAGCATTGCTGGTGATGTTGTGATACCCCACCGTACCTCCTTGGATCCTGGTT